ACACACTGGACCTTTAATACCTGTCACAAGTTTTTTGCCAGTCTCTCCAATAGTTGTTGACATATTTCTCTCAGAGCCAAAATGGTGGTGCAAGATGAACAGTCAGGGGATCATTAAAGTCAGGATTCATCCACTGGGCACATTGAATCTTTCATGGCAAATCCTCCAGTAATTGTTGAGATATTTTAATCTGGACTAAAGTGGTGGACCAATTCACCAATAAACAATTTCACTAAAAACTACAAACATCAGCCTCATTGTGGTGTTACTGGAAAAGTCAGAGGGTCACCAAAGTCATTGGGATGCATCGTCTGGTAACCATAAATATATGTAGAAAAATAATGCAGCAATCTATTCTATAGATGTTGAGATATTTCAGAGAATAAGTGGAAATTTGGGCTTGAAAAGGGAATCAGCAAAGTCATCCAGCAGTTGTTGAAGTATTTCAGCCTGGAATCAAAGTGGTGGACCAACCGACCCACTGACAAACCAACATTGCCATGTCGCTAGCATGGCTAAAAAGCACCTCAATGTAATGAGGCCAGTGCGGTGCCAAGATATAAGGTGGGACAGTGACATTCTCAAAAACTCATCATAGGGTTAAAATGAGAGAAAACATAAAGATAGTTTATAAAAAAAACAGTTAAGAACAGAAAGGGGAGGTGAGGTTAAGATTCAGGAGGAAGAAATGGGAGAAAAGTGGCTCCTGAGTGCAGCGGCCTCGGCCTGGTGTAGACCAGGTGTCAAATATGACCAATGGCAGGAATCAGCTAAGAGGTGAAGTCATGATGCGATGGCCAACAAAAAACACTCGCAGCACTAAAGACCAGAGTCAGACGAAAAAATAAAAAATAAAAAGTCTGCCTGCTCCCTCTTCCTCCGCTGTAGTGCCCGATCTCATCCCCCCCTACAGTATCTGCAGCCTGTAAGGGAAACAAATGGTTATGATGATGGAAAAGGAATTAAACTGTAATTTAACAATGGACCAACAACAGTATTCAATAACGGGCTCCCTCCCTCGCTGTACGGAGGGCTCTTGTAGAAGAGAGAGTCTCATTCTTGACCAACACACTTCACTGTCCCTCTTCATCAGGCTTTCACTGTGTTCTGCTTTACCTACGGTGGCCTCTGTCTCACATGAGATCTGCACTCAGACCTCAGCACGCAGGGTAGCACCGTCACACAGCTAATCATATACAGGATTTGTCCTTAAATCCTGCTTCTTTACAAAAATGTGACTTCCCCCAACAGAAGTCCACTCATTCTCCACAAATCTTCAAAATTGGGTCGCAAATATAACGTTAGTTCTGAAAATTAATTCTAGAACAGCTGAGCACTATAGTCTTTAGCAAACATTAAAGCTGGAGTAAACTGTATATCTCTTAGGGACTATATTCAGCTGCGGATTAATACACATTTGTTGTATACATTTGTATTTACTGTGTACTCAGTGCTTGTGTTCATCATAGTGAAGGGACTCTGCAAAGGTTGTATCAATTTGCGTTCAACAATGGAGTTATTTGGCGTAGATGAATAAAATATTATACACTAACAATACTTGTTTGTAGGATCACTTCACTGTTGGTTTTGGCCTTTTCATTATCGTTATTGAAGTTACATAATAAAAAAGTCATTGGTCGCTGTAATCAACCTTTCCAGAGACATCTTCATAGTGCGATTCCAGTGTAACAGATAAAAGACAAAATCTGCAAGAATAAATGCAAAAAAGCATTCAGAAGCTCAGTTGAAGCTTTGACACTTCGGCAGTCTGACAAATTAACTTGGTCACAGTCACAACCTTTTCAGTACAAGACTCCCTCGCACAAACTCATATGAAGAGTCATCTGACTATGCAAAAGGTAAAAATACATGTTCAGAATGGCCACCACGTAGAGCCCACCTGGTAGAGATGGTGCCCTGTGTACCAAGGCTGAAGTCCTGGCTGCAAGCGGCCATGGGTTCGACTTCAATCTGTGGCCCTTTGCTGTCAATCTATCCTCCTTAATCTATTAAAAATGAATGGCCACACTTGAAGGAAGGAGGGGGCAAACCTACCACCATAGAGTGAGGGTAATTGTTCAATGGACAGTCTCTCCTCAAAGACATTCATGATGTCGCAATTGGTTGTGCACGCAAAGTGAATGGAAGTAGCTGTGTGAAGAATAAAAGAGAAAGCTTATTAGAGGAATTTAATTTTCCTCTTTGGGCACACTTGTCAAGTTGTTGGTTTCAGACAGTGGTGAAAATGTTCTTCCTGATCCTGGTGTTGAAAATGGGGGTTTCAGGCTGTGTTCTGGCAAGCACTTTGTTCCAAGCATACTCGGGTCTACTGAATCAATACTTTAAATGGTGAGTCACCAAAAAAAACAAATTAAATTTCTCACTTCCCGCCTCTACTGTTATTTAACAATGCAATTAGATTTTACAGATAGGTTTAATTTGCAGGTTTTGAAACATCTGTCTCTGAGAAGTTTGTTCCCATGGAACAATGGAGATTAATAGATTTTTCTTTCTTTCTTTCTTTTTCTTTTCTTTCTTTCTTTCTTTCTTTCTCATGGACAAAAAAACTCTAAAAATTCAATAGCAACATGACCTAGTTTTTCTAGATAATCTCACTGTCAACAGTTTTCCTATTTCTTTGGTAGTTCTGATGACAACTGTCCACAGACAATATGGCTTTGTGTTGTTGTTGTTTTAACTGATCCTTTAAAATTGTGTGGTGACACTTGTGCCACAAGACCTAATTAAAAGAAAGTGGATGTGGATCTGATTAGAATATATATGGCACATAATCCAGAGGATCATGGTCTAAAGCTGACCACGGAAGATGCCTGAGTGTATTCAAGCTTGTCACTTTGATTTGTCACATGAGTATGACTGTAATTGCTGTGTTTCAGTCATCATAGGTTAATTATCAGCCTTGACCTATTGCATACACACATACAGACACTCACACACTTCAGACATGGGGATGGAAGGATTGCTTTTGTACAAATCCAAAAAAGTTAGAAGACATACAGCACAGTAATGTAAAGCTGCCAATTCTCCTTTACTCTGTATCATCTTCGTCTCTGTCTAACTGATCATCACTGTCTGTCTCACACCCCTCCTTCCCTTTCCCTCTCACCCATCCTCCCTCCCTCATTTGGTGACCCACTAATGTTCTGTTCATTTTCTCTTATGAATAGATAATGGGCAAAAATCAAATCTCTTCATTTGCATGTAATACAATTAAGACCTTTTCAAACAATGACAAATGGAGGGAGCAGCGACATGTCAGTCAGGCTCGTCAGCGAGAGAGCAAAGACAGCATCGGAGAACCCCTCCATTTTAACGAAAATTAATAAAACCTTCAAATGGAATTTTCTCGCCGCCATCTGGCATAACAATCACCAAGACACTCCTAGATTCTGCCTGTCAAATAAAATTAAACTTCTCATGAATTTGGATTCATAATATGGATGTGAAGCCACCAAAATACCTCTACTCCCAAAAAACGCTTAGAATTTCATTTCTTAGATCAATAATGATGGGATGTGTGGCCCAATGTGATTCCAGAGACGCAGGTGTTGTAAGTATTGGTAACTACTGGCTTTAACACGTGTTCACATTTTATAAAGTCTGCTTCAAAACAATGTTTACACCTCTTCTTTATTTGGCTCTTCTCTCCATACTGGCCCTGAAGAGATCACTGTATGCCAAGCTGACCCTAGCTTCATAATTAGAGCACAAACATAAAAGTGCTATTGATCTTCTCAGCCCAGCCAAGTATAGGTTCCCATTTTTTGTCTTAAAACAAGAGACCGGTGACCAACAGTCCTTGTTCTGTGTAAAAATTCTTTCTTAAATTCAGCCAAAGCTAAAGGTTATGTTTAGAACATTAACTGGATGTCACACAGGAGCACCAGCGTCTCAGATGAAGTACAATGGGATAAAAATTAAATAAAACCGTCTTTGTTAGTCTTTTCACAGTATTTCCAACAACCACCAACACTGGTTTGGTCGAAATAAATCCTTAATTCACAAATAGAGCCAGCAGATGGTTAGATTACCTTAGCATAAAACAGGACAGGGTGGACTGTCTTCTTGGACTCCTATCATCAATCTGTTTAGTGGTGCTAATAGGCAGATTTCTACTTTTGCATACAGTCAGGCTAGCTGTTTCCCTCTGTTTCCAGTCTTTAGGCTAAGCTAAGCTAACCACAAGCTTGCTATAGCTTCACTGATAGCACAAGAGAGGTATTGATCTTCTCATCTAACTCTCTTATTTCCCCAAATCTCACACTGTTATTGTTATTTTGTCAAGACAATCACAAACACATGGACCTTTGCAAATAACTGTTTTGCTTCTAATACAGTTTTCTAAAATAAATTCACATAATTTCATTCAGACATTCCCTTATCATACACAAATGGACATAAACACAAAAACCATATACGCTCACACAAACACATGCATGAACACCTATACATGCATACAAACACACACACACACACACACACACACACACACACATTGTCCTCCTCTCTCTCCGCCTCCTCTCTCTCTCTCCGAGCACACACACACACACACACACACACAGGAAAATTAATGAGCTCTCATTCATAATCCAGGATAGAGAGAGCCATATTCACCCTTGGATGGTTTATTGACTGATTTCATTTATTTGTGTGGAATAAATAGGAGGTAAACATTGGCTGGCGCTCACATTTTCCGCGACACACTCGCTGCACAGCTTGCTCGGAGAAATGATCCAAGCCCACAGAGGTCACTGATTGGCTACCTCGTCAGTGTGTGACAAATTACCCAATGAGAAATAGGTTACCCATTTCCACAAACTAATTAACCTGGGTGATAGTGAAACAAATTATTACATTTATGTAATATTATTTCACATCTGTCGCCAGACTACAAAAATCTTTATCCCTGTGCTTCCCCGCCCCCTGATGGCTTCTTCTTTGTGATTATAAACACATCCAGACACCACGACAGGCCTGTACATACTTTATGCATATATGAAGATTGTATCATTTACTGGATTTAAAATAGCACTTTAAATAGAAATCTAAAATATTCAAAAGTTGGTGTTTATTTTTGTTCAGTTACATAGGTTAACACATACTTAGAGCAATGGTTTCCAGCATGTGGATCAAGATAAGAATAAATCTGAGAGATCACAAGATGATTGACAAATAGATAGAAGATAGGAAAAGATAGGAAATGTGTTTCTGCTGCATAAATCATGTTTATATTTTTTTGTTTTTTACTAATCTTTGTTTTTTTTCCCTCTAAAATCTCTTCAAATAAAACAAACAACAATCAAACTCATATACTGTATGTGCCAAGGGGGCGTAAAGGTTGGGAACAACTTAAAGACAAATCTGACTTATTCTTCTTAGTATGTAACATTTAGGAGGATTTATTGGTAGAAAGAATCTTGTGTTTTCATGACCTTAAAATGAGCTGTTTTTATCTTCAGAGGGAGCAGGTCCTCTTCTACGGAGTCCGCCATGTTTAACCGCCATGTTTCTACAGAAGACCGGACAAACCAAAAGCTGGCTCTCGATACGGCCTTAAGTTTGGTCTCTGAAGTTTCTCCTACACGCTCAGAAAGTGAACAGTATTCAACTGGTTGCAGTCTGCGACTTCACCACAAGAAGCCACTAAATCCTACACACTGGTCCTTTAAAACATTATTCATGGTTCAAAAGTAAAAGAAAACCAGAAAAATTCCACAAATTCATCTTTCGAGTCAAAACCTGGCATTACCCACAATGCAACTCGGCCCCCAAGTTGGAGATGGTGTGTTATGCTAGTAGCGGCTAATGACGCCTCAAGCTGAGATGAGGAGCGGGCTACTGAGGCCTGGTAAGCTCATTTCTTTCTGTCTAACCACCAGATTTTAAGATTTTAAAACTTCAGACCTTACTGAGGCTGACTCAAGTGACATAACCTGAGGCACTTTATCAGACTTCACACAGCTTACTCTGGAGCATCAAAAGACTTTATACAACTTGTTTCACATATGCAGCAGCACACCACAAGACCTGTAAACATACTTCAATGTAAAATCGGAGTAAAATCCGTAAAAGCTACAACAAATATAAAGTAGGTTGAACAGGACAAACAAACCCGAACAAAGACACCTTTTGTTTCCTCGCTCAGCTTTTGCCACCTGGTAGCACAAATGTTCTGTATGTGTTGCCGACAACTCGCTGAAAGATTGATGGATGGATCTGCTATTTCTAGATGACGATGGAGTTCTCTGTGGAGGAACAAGATGAACCCAAGGTGGGCGGTATAAAACTGATTAGTAGGGTTTTCTTTCCATCATGCTGTTTCATTTAATAATGTTTTTCTATATAAAGGTCGATATAAATGAAATAATGTAAACTTTAAAGTTGGGTCTGACTTTAGAAATTGAACCAACTTGGTCTTGTCTTGGATTTCTATAATATGAAAGATTATTTAAAGATTTCATCAATTACATTTACACTTAGACCCTATGATAAAAACTTATTATTATTAAAAGTCTTATGCCAAGAGCAAGCTTTGATTGTACTTAACTTGTTACCCCAGGTGGTATTTCTGCAGTTGTCGGGGGGTATGTATAAAGATTGTGGAGTAATTCAGCTAAATATAAAACACATATAGGTGCACATGTTTGTGTTTAAGGGGAAATAGATGTACAAATACGATTATGAATGGTTATGCGGATCTTTATTTATTGTCATAATAATCAACTAACTAAAGCCTATTGCAGACATAATGCCTCTCACCAACCTTAGTCAGTTGTAAAAACCTTAACCCCTTACTTTTACTAATCAAATTAATAAATAAAAGGTTAAAATATCCAGCTTCTGCCTCTCCCAGTGGTTATAACAGTATGCAAACATGACTGAAATTAATGGGGGGAAATAGAAAACAGATCAATCCTAAACCTCAATAATTCCAGGATAATATTATAATAAATCCATTTTTATATTATCATCATCATCATCATCGTTTAATAACTTATAAGAAAGAGCCCTTTGGGGGTCTTTGGACGCTCACCTGTCAGCATAAATCCAGTATCAATATCTTCTTTCTCTTCTCTTCTCTAGTTCTTATGTTATGTTATGTTACATTACTGTAAACTGCCCACAGCTACCAAAGTTACTCATGATACTTAGCAACACCATCACAGAACAATAAAAATGTCCACTTCACTCACTTCACACTCTACACTATTTAGTATAAATTGTGATTAAGTTAAACTAACCAGACCTATCTGAGGTACAAATGCCTCTTAAAGACACTAAACTTAAACAGCTGCTGACAATATTGTGGAAACTAGACTGAAACTAACCCTGTCTAATTGATAAACCAGTGATATGTTGGGATAAGATCTAGCACACCCAGATTACCAAATAATAATACTATTAAAACCTGATAGTGTTAGTGTCTGCCTACTGGCCAGAACCAATGGAGCTTTCATAGGAACTAATACATTTCCTTATAAAACCAGAAGAGAATATGCTGGCCAGTGTCACCACTGTGTTTGTCCACCTTTTCTCATAATTATTATCACATAATTATTTCCACATTATTTGGAGTGTGTTGCCTCTGATTGCCCAAAGTGAAATTATGCACGTACCTGTAGATCGCACCCAGAAGCCCAAAGCACAAAGTCGGTGCTGCACCTCAGTGACAGATACCTGTCAAGTTGACTGTTAAATCTGAGACAGAAAAACAAATTAGGCTAATGAAGAAAATAAGGAATTTGGATCATATGCCTGTCTCTGACTTTGTTTACTTCCTTTGAAATTGAGCTGAAATAGTTATGGTGCATGTAATATGTAGCCTGAAACAAAGAACTCAGCAACAGAATTGATTAAATGATGAGGAACGTGTGTCAAAATATCTGCATTTGCAGCATCAAGTTCTGTACATGGTAGCTTTCAGTTTGTCCTTCATGTCTGAATCAACTTTCGGTTATTAAATGAACCTGTTTGTCATTGTTTTATTATTAATCTATAAACAGGGTAAATGAGATTAATTTTATACGTGGGATTAAGTATTTCATTCTTGCAGGTGTGACATAAAGCCTGGAGAGCATCCTATTATACACTGTAAGAATTAAAAAGTTTCTGAATTTCATCTTGTTTTTTTACCAGTTTGTGTTTTTAGCTAACAGATAAAATAAGAACACCTTTGGCCACCTGCTAATTTGTCAATTTGGGCCTCACTGAGATTGAGTTTGACGTCTCTGATGATGCCTGAATTATTTGAGCATTTTGTGTGGAGATGCTCCTTGATTACCTGTTTATTCTTATATAGTTACACTCCAGCTTTTGGAAGAAACGTTTGTCCACCTAAAAAATACCTTTTTATAAATGAACACAAGAATGATATCATCACTGTTTTTAATCCGGACTGGGCAAGCACCCTGGAGCCACAGGCAGAGAGAGAAGACGACTCTTTACTCCAATAAATGGAGCAGAATCAGTGTAAAACAGCTTTAAAACTACAAGTAAAGATCACACATTCAAAATGATAAGTGAAAGTACAGAAATATTATCAGCAAACTGTACTATTATTATGTACTGTGTATATCATTGGATTATTATTATTTGATATATGTAATTATGTGTATGATTATTATTATATTAAGATGTAAGCTGCATGTTGTATACAACCATGTTGTAGCTGGTAAAGGTGGATATCATTTTGACTTTTTTATATAATATTGGTTTGTTTATGTGTAAACCATCTTTTATGCATATTTCATAAACTGCTCATATGTTTTTAATGTGAAACTGAAATCTGCAAAGTACTAGTTGTAAAAGCAATATTTCCTTCTGAAATGCAGAAGAATTACGTATCATAAAATATGAAAATAAGCTATAAATACCACACATTTGTAGCTATTTCACAGGCCTGTTGTGAAAGAAAATAATACTTTTACTTTATCAAATTTGACTTTATTTGTTTAATGCTGATTTAGCTTTAAAACTGGCATCATCTTTGCTGTGGAAGTCATCCTGAGGTCTTCGCTGTCTGTAGATGAGGTCACTCAAAGTACTCATCTGCTGATGTCATGATATGATGTCATAACATTTGAAGGTTGAGTTATAATTTGGTTTAAACAGGAGGTTTAAACTGAGAGTTGAGGCATGAATTAGTGTGTTTTTGAACTAAATTAAAGCTGCATATATTTTTTTTCTACATCTCATCGCTGTCCAGTGCAAAAAATGCATCTCCAAATTTGGTCAGTTTGAATATTTGAGGGAAAAATGGAAGGATTAGGTTTTCCTTTATAGTTTGAGGTAATTCTTGTAAGATTAATTGTATTATAACATTAACATTTTGGAGATACATTCACTGTTCACTGATGCCTTTATGTCTTTAACTTGAGCCCTTAAACTACTTCAAGAAAGAAGGGGTTGATTCATGATGTGACATAATTGAAAATGATTTTTATTTGATCATTTACATTTAATTGATATAAACATGTCCATGAAACAAAATGGTTCAAACATTTAAGAAAGTCATATTTGATAATAAGCACAGACATAATAAACATATGTTGGAAACATAAGTTATCACAAACTGACCAAATGGGAACAAGAGTGCTTCCGCTACACAAAACATCCTATATAACAGATTATAGTTAAGTCAGTTTCCATGTCTTAATTTATAGTATTTCCCTTATTATTTTTTTTGCCTTGGACAGCTCATGCAGTCAAGTCCTCTTCCATGTTGTCCTGATTCTTGTTAAATCAGTCTCCTTCTCTCTTCTGGTGAATCTCTGGCGTTCTTTTAAACCTCCAGGTGTCTTGTTTCTGCACGTCCACTGCGCATCCCTTTGGCCCTTCAGGTGCTGCATGCTGTGCAGCAGTTGGAAAATGAAAGTAGTTTTGTGTTTCAAAGTATCCACAGAATTTGTCTTCAAAAACCGTCAGTCACCAAGCAAATGTCACTGAAAGCCCTGCAACAATAAAGGCGAGGGCTGCATGTGCCAAATAAATAAATACAGAACAAACCAATAAGTTAATTTCAAGTAGACAAATAAATAGTTGTCATAGGCTACATGCGAAATAATAAATTATAGCTCAAAACAGAACCAGTCCTATGCGTGATAAAGGCCAACAGGCCTGATAAATAGCTTCAGTTTTCCCTCTAGTTTGTGATTTGGGAGGAAAACGTGCCAGGTGTGCAGCTCGGCCATTTGTTATTTGAACAAGAATCCTGGTTGTATTTTTCCCGGCGCACCGTTTGGATGGATTGGATGAATAAGAACTAAATGCAGAAGCTCTCTGTGTGAGAGAAACAAACGCTCTTTACGGTGGCCCTAGGTAAAACTCATGGATACTGTGTGCTCCAGCGCTTTGCGGCGCAGCGAGGCGATGCTTGTCCCTCTCCAGACGTCACTGTCCGGGGAACTACACAGCTGAGGCGAGCCGGTCACGTTGGTCGGGCCCGACAGGGACGCGGGTACCATCCCGGGGAAAGTGGGCTGGTAGAGGTGTGACTGAAGCCCGGAGCCGTTCGACGACATGTTGGATAGACCCATGGAGTTGGGCGGCGGCCCGGCGCCGAGGCTACACTGTGACAGGGACTGCGCCATGGCCTGCTGGCGGCCCAGGGCCGGCGGTAGCTGCAGCTGAGACACGCCGGGCATCCCTGCCGTGGCCCAGCGGGTGTCGTTGGCGTGGAAGGAGCAGAGGCTGTCGCCCATGGCCGCTGCTGCTGCCGCGGCGGAGGGGAACTGAGGCAGGCCGTGGTGCGTCGGCAGGAGAGTCCCCGGAGCGCGGAACACATTGGTGGTCTTCTTGCGCTTCTTCCACTTGGCTCGTCGGTTCTGAAACCAGACCTGCAGACAGAGATGTGATGAGTTAGGAGGAGCTGGTGTAATGGCCGCCGGTGCAATGACAGGTCATGTTATCAGACATAAAAAGGTTACGACATCAGGCTGTGATCATCAGGATAATGCGAGCAGCCCACAATAAATCTGTTGCAGAAAAAACGATGATTTATGTTTGTTCCGGGATCTTATCCGCTTATAACAATGTGCCATTTGTGCGTAAAACGTCCCAATTATTGGGGAAAATATACAACACGTGCGTAAATTCAGTTTATTTTGGTTATTCTCTCTGTTTTGATCTTTAACACCGAGAAAAATGTCCAAGAAACTTTCAGCCTCTGGTATAACAGAGGTCATATCTCGATATGATAAACTTTTATTGTGTACACTAAATACATATGTATGTACACATATAATAAAATGTTTGAAGTATAATAATAATTGTATATTCAATCAATTTTGCTTCAATACATCAGCAGCATTTCCATAAAAAATATTACAATCTTCATTCATATTTTTATATGTCATTATCTACTTTATAGAGATGCAGAAATTATGTTTTTAACTTATTTTATTTATTTTCTTGTGCCAAAGAAAACCAACATTTTTAATAACATAATTTAGCCTCACGTGATTTCCACTGCTTTGGGAGGAGCCACAGAAAAACGCACTCACATAATAAAGATAATGTTATTGCTGTGACAAACAGCCTGCTGGCAAACACACTTTTACTCCGGGAGCCCTTGAGCTCCTGTAGGTCTGGTTGTAAGCGGGCCGTCTGATGATTAATGTGAAGATTTGCTTGAGAAAGTGGGGCGCAGTAATAAGAACGGGACAATCTCACTCTCTTTCCCCCCCACTCCCGCGTAGCCAGCCGTGAAATCCGGCCTGAAATGCATTACACTTCAAAGGAAAGAAAATGCAATTTCTCATTCCGTTTAAAAAGACAGAGTGCACTCTCAGCGCGTCCGGCATTAAGACGTGCAGAGCGGTGACAGCCCCATCGCTAAGCTCAACCTGGACCTGCTTCTTATTCCTGCCCGCCCCCAACAGCAGATGAGCTTCATTTCACTAATTCTTATTTTATGGAAATAGTATATAGAAGCTGAACTGACTGGCGCGGTGGTAATAATGATTATTAGGGTGTTATTTCACATGTGAGCGACCCAAGTGACTTTGCCATTGCTGGTTAATAAGGCGGTGGCGCCATAACTCCTAATGTATTTTTGTATTTGTGCAGCCTGGAAGTGACCGAGGGGCAGGACTGCAGGAGAGCAGGACACAGAGTCCAGCTGTAACAGTGGATTCAGGTTCTGTTTAAAAGGTGGATTTCAGTGCACAGTCGCTTTTATCTGAAGCGATTAACGAGTGTAATAAAGCTGCAATCATCATTTGGCTCCCTGTGGACTCATTACATGAGATGGACACAAAATGTGGACCAGTTGTGGATCAGACAGAATTTAAAGGTTATAGTGTGGTCTTCAGGAATAACAGCACATCCCTGTTTTAAATAAATAAATTAAATATGAAGTCAAACAGTTTTTATATCAGAAATATCTGGAGAAATAAAAGGTTGTTAACAGGATTTGTTGCTGCTACAGTAACGACCTGATCTCAGGCTGTAATGGCTCCTGTCGCGTTGAAGGCTCCTTATGTATTTACAGTGTCTGACTGAAGCACGTGTGTGTGTGTGTTATACACAAGGTCGCCGGTTCGAATCCGGGTGAGGCTCTTTAAGTCCAAACACTTGGGCAAGGTATTCAACCCGCACAACACACACACACACACACACGGAATTCCCGCAACCTGTGTGCTGTATATTTTAATTTATTGGTTCATTTATTTAAGCTCTTATAAGAAATAGGTACATTTTCTTTCAGCTGTTTTGTTTTCTCTTTTTTTATGAATTAATTTATTCCGAGATGTAATAAAAACATATATTTTAGTAGTTGTGTTTTTTCCTATTATAGAAAATTATTTTTGTGTAACAGGAAGCCAATAATAAACATTTCTTGTTGTTTATTTGTGCCCAACATAAATAACTTTTGTTTTTTATTAAAACAATATCAGATTTCCTCCAAAGAATTTATTTTACTTTTAGTTTCTTTAAACGCCGAAGGCTAAAATTCTTCCTGCATGAAAAATTAATAGCAATTTTATTAAAGCAATTTTACTCATAGATTATTAGTAAGAAATAAACGAGCTGCATTTTTTGTTTCAAATACACAAAGTAATCAGAATAAATCAGCCAATACAAGAAGTTAAATAGTTGATTCACAAAGTCAGTACACAAAAGGCTGTTAGGAAGGATTTAATTCCACATTAATTCATATTTATTACAGTATTTTGCTATTAGCAGGTTTATACTTTTGTCTTATTTTTTTGAGTTAGTGGGAATTTATTTTGAACGGATTTTTAAATGTATTCTGTCCTTATTGTAGCACAATGCTGCTTTTTAAATTATTTTATATGATTTGCAGGATCTGTATATGAAACCACACTCGGGTCGGTGTCTGTGCATCCTAATTGTGTCGGTTCATTTCCTCCAGTGTTGATTAAAACGGTTCCAGCCGCCCTACCTGCACTCTGGACTCCGTCAGGCCGATCCTCAGCGCCAGCTCCTCCCGCATGAAGATGTCTGGGTAGTGCGTTTTGGCGAAGCTCCTCTCCAGCTCGTTGAGCTGCGCCGGAGTGAAGCGGGTCCGGTGCCGCTTCTGTTTCTGGGACTGCTGCGCTGCGGACTGGTTCTGGTTGTTGTTGTTGTTCTGCTGTTGCTGCTGCTTCTCCTGCTCTTTGCTGTTGACCTGCACCGGGTTGGATCCTCCGCCGCTGCTGATATCATCGCCCGGGAGCATCGTGGCCCCTTCCACGCCGTCCGGGCCCGGGCCGAGCTCCCCGGAGTGCCCCGGGTCAGGTCCCCCTCCGCCGAGCCTGCACTTCAAAGCCTCCCTGTGGCCCAGAAGCTCCGCCGCGGCATCCTTCATCCCTGCACAGACAACCACAGCTGGTGAGATTTGGACAGAAAACACTTTCGCTACAGGAGGGAAAAAGGGACATGTTAGGCAAATACTGCGAGACTTTAAAGTGCACACATGCAATATACTTTACAGGCAAAAGAGAGGAATTAGGAGTAGCTGAAACATTTTTCTGCTGCAGTAGAAAACGAGAGAAAAGCTGCACATGCATTAAACCATCCAGTGGCAGATTTTAAAACACAAATGCAGAAATTAAACAAGCGACTGCAGCTCTGACAGAGACAAGTACGGCATGCACATTACAATCTGCTCCTTAAATACTCTTAATTCAATTCGACCACAGCGATATCTTAGGAAATTGTTAAATCAAATTATGCAGTAATATAATAATAATAATTACTTTTCCAATGAATTAAGCCAGTTTAGTTCACTTGAGTCGCATTAAGATAATATAAGAAGCAAATTGACAATTTTCTGAGCTTGATTTAAGATTAGAAGTGCCTCCAGCTTACAGTAGAGTTGAAGACCGGAGTTTGGTGATGATAACTCACCGAGGCGAGCATCCAGGAGGTCGGCATGAGATAGCATTGCGCACCGCTCCAGGGCGAAGTGCTATTCCAAAAAAAAAATCTCTATGACTTTAACCTATTTAAGAAATATATATAGCCTAAATGAAAGCAAATTCGGTTTGTGGTTAAAAGGGAGGTTCGTTGCATTATAATGTAGTTTAGAGAAATGGGGAGGCGCTTAACAACGGAATGAACCCATGAGCTTCTCCAAACGAGGACCAATCAGAGTTGAAGCCTGAGGTATGTCAGCTTTAGCCCGAGAGCACCCCTCCAGCCTCCCCCCAACCACC